CAAACTTCAATGAAACCACATAAAAGTGAAACTCTTTTTCTTCTGGAAGAAGAGATAAAGAAAAATTGAATTGCATAATTGCTACTTGGATGCATTTATGTCTCCTCCTTGACCCCTGGCTTCCTTTTTTGTTTCTAAACCCCACTTTTACCATGCCATTCACTGATGCTGTTGTTAACAATTAAAAATCCCCTCAACTGCAGCTGCCTTTCTACTTTTTAGCTGTGCCTACATATTGACAACTAAGCACCTTTGAAGTTGTGCCAGTTTGCTCATTGACATTTTTATCTTCAATAGCATAGGTAATATACATTGTGAAAATACATATAGTTTCTCCAAAGGACTTCATTAAACAAGCTACAGTATTTCATTTAGAGCTTTTGAAACATGCAGCCACAAACATTTCCCCCAAAGTTGGCTGTCATGCAAAACAGTGGCTCAACACTGAGCTAGGTATTTTCTTTCTTTTTCTCTTTTTAAAATTTTAATCTGTTTATTCTCAAAGCTGCTTTCTTTGGTATCTTATCCTCTAGGGGCCATGCATGAAGATCAGCACATATCCAAAATACAATGAAACAGTGTATCTATTCAGTTCAGTTAATGATTTCAATGATCTCTAGGGAGAAATCCCTCTGGAACTCCACATTAGTAACTTTAATAAAGCAGGTGTCAGGAGTACAAAGGCAGCCAGTAAAAGAGGCCTTTCCCTTCCCTTTGCTTCTTGCTCTCCATCTGCTCTCTCTCCTTTTTCTTCTTCTTCCTCCTCTTCCTTTCCTTCTTCTCTTCCTCCTTAAACAACCCTCTTTCCCTCACTGTTCCTTGCCTGCTTGTAGCCAAACATAGCAACGCACCAGACAGGTGATTTTTTAATGCTCACTGAGATCCTGGGATACAAACTTCAGGGGATCATGCCATTTGGCTGTGAAAACAAACTTCTGAAAATTTCTGCTGTTTTTAATGACATTTCTTGTTGCTATACTGAATTATGGTATCTTTGTTTTATAGTTAATATTGTACCTTACTTTTGTATCATGATACTCATCTTACAAAAGTATATTCCCAAAGAATACCCATCTGGTTTGAGTTTCAGTGCCACTATGTGAAATAGGACACAGCTGTTCACTTCTATTTTTTGAATATTGGGGATCGAACTCAGGACTTCATGCCTGTAAGGCAGGCGTGGTGCCGCTGAGCTAAATCCTGAAGCTCTCAAAGTTAATCTAATTAGATGATGATGAGTTCATGACTGAAAACTAGGAGTTTGGGTAGCTAAGCTTTTTCAGATTTGAAATCATGTCCTCTTACTTCATTGTGTTATGACAAGTGATTCCACTAAAAAAGGCCTGCGTTCGTGGGTAGCCAGGGTGAAGTGGTGTCCGACCAGCAGTTCTCTGTACACTTGGAGATGTGATTTCAGTGGCTTCTGCCTAGTCCCATAGCACTCTTTGGTTGTCTGCTCACATCTGAATTATCATATGTAAACCCAGGATTGAACCAGACACAAATATACACAGGTTTTGGGATTTGACAACAAAATAGCAAAGCATTTTGCTCTTACAAGTTTGTAACGTTTGGAGTTACATTACATTTAAAATGGATTTTCAGGGCAAAAGGGATATGTCAGGCAATGCGGGTCGGGGCACTGAGCACTGCACAGTAAAGCACAACGATGATAGCAGCTTGCCTGTTAGGCTAAAATGAGCAGTTCATATTGGCTATTGAACCCAGAATATTTTTGCTACAACATCCTGCAAGGCTGGATGTAGACCAGCCTATGGAAGAAAATAATGAAGGTGAACTTTGGTTTTGTAATTCCTCCAAGTGCCACCTGTCTTCTTAATCTTAACTCACTGTGTGTCCTAAAAGAACCCCAGGCTTCTCTCTCTTGTTTTGGTTTCATCACCAGACAATCTCCTGTGGCATTTAATGGCACCACAGTATGATTCTTTTTTTTTTTTTAACTTTAATTTATTGGTACATTCCAGGTAGACAGTACACAGTATGATTCTGACCAGGTGTATCAGGTGGCCATCTTTCTTTCTGTACTATGTGTAATAAACTCTGAGATTGGCTTTGTGTATCTTTTACTCCTGGTATGTGGAGCTTGGTGTGTGGTGCTTGAACTACTGCTGTTAGGTGGTAACTTCCAAATCCGAACATTTCTATGACATACCTGTAATCACCTCAAAGTTAACACATCTAAAAAGTGACACAATTCCCTCCAAATGTGCCCTCTTTTGGGTGTGCTGTTAATTTATTTCTCCATAGATTAAGCTTAAAAAACTGTTTGAATGTTATATTCCAAGGCCTAATTGAAATTTATATAGTTTAATTCTATACCCTCTGATTTCTCCAATTCTGTTAGAATGAATCTCTCCCTATCCTCTAAACCATGACAACCCTTTCCTTACATCTTCGGAGCAACCACCCATCTTGTAATAATGGTCACCACTTCTGAGGACATATGTACTTCTTCTCAGAGCCTGCAAATCTCAAACTTTCTTTTCCCTGTCCTCCTTTCCAGATCTTGGCATAGAAGATGGAGACAGAGATAAAGCAACATAAAGTATAAGAAATAAAGTCTCTGCTAAAGACGTACTGTAAGCTTAACTTGGCTCTCAGATGACTTTAGTTACTATTCCACCTCATGTTCCTCTGCAGCTATTCCAAATGTCAGAACTCTACTCCTCAGACACCCTCCCTTTGGCTGCCTCCTTGATTCACTCTCAGGAAACAGTCTCTTTTCATGCCCAGCAGAAAAGGTTACCCTTTTTCTGTCTGGCTAGTTGCATTTCACTATGATCTGTCTCTATTTTCCCCCTGTTTAGGTAGCTATCTAGCCTTATCAAGCACCTTTCTCCCAAATTCCTCTTTATCTTAACCATTCATATCTACTTGGCTCTTTTCCATCTGTATATAAAGAGCTTTAAATCTCTTTATTGTAAAACAATCCTCCTCCAACACCTCGTTTCTCTTTATCCTTTACCATTTACTTCATAACTAAATCTCTCCAAACCAGTCTCCCTGTTTTTACTTCATCACAATCTATCAACTGTAATCCCCCTCCCTCCCAACTTTCTCCTGGTAACACTCTTATTCATGTTTCTAGTAGCCTCTTGAATGCTGAATATGACGGACACACTAATATCCAATCTGATTTCAAGTATCTCTGATGGGTGCCCATAAGCAAACCTGGGTATCTTTCTATTCTTTCCTCACCACACTGTATGTGTCTCACTTTCCCACAAGCTTCCTGAAGGCAAGGCTTACATCTCTTTGTATCTACTTCCAGACACAGTATCTATCAAACAAAGGTTGCTTACAATATCTGATGAGTGAATAAAAAATGGAATGAATGGTAACCTACCTCTTGCTGGCCCTCTCCAGACATCCTATGACACATTTAAAGTAGTCCTAACTGGGAGTTACTTGAATTTGAAAGTTGATCTTGAACAAGTCTTGTGATAGGGGCTGTAACAGCTACAAAGAACTTTCTTCAAAGAAGACAAAATGCACTTCAGTGAAACTATCTGAGAATATTTAAATTGTATGGCTATGACTGTAAGTACTTTGGATACATTTTATTTGCATAGGTCACCAAGGCCTGGAGTAGTTGCATAGATCACCAAGGTCTGGATTTGCTAGAGGATATTATAAATTATGCTTTAGTAATAGCTTGTATCTGGATATCCTACCAAAGCCTCATGTGGTCATAGGTTGGGCTTTTCAGAGTTGGCTGGATCTAGAGTGTGTGACGCTGGGATTAAGGATATGATGTTGAGACCGATTCACAGTGCAGTGCTAGGATGGAGGGTGTTCCACCCTGAGTGTGAGTGTGAGTATAACCAGGATAGAATACAAAGAACAGAAAAAGGGTTGCTGTTGCTGCTTGCTGCTTCACTACTTTGGTGCCTGCCACCTTGCTGCCTTCTGCCTGCCATGAACTATTTTTCCTCTGCCTTGCCACCCTGCCTTGGAGACAGCCAACTATGAACTGCAACCTTTACCAACTGTGAACTGCAATAAGGCTTTCCTCCTTTAACTTTGGTTGTCGGTTATTTTGTCTCAGCAATAGAAAAGTAACTAAGACAGTAAGATTATCCAACAGAAACATGTGCAAGAGTAATTCAAAAGAGGGAGGCTGGTGAAGGCCAGGTGGGAAGAGATGTGGCCTGACATAGGGTAGAGTAGTGGGAAATATGAGGAAGAGATAATTCCATTTCTAATGACACGTGGTGACGGTTGGAATCAAAATGGAAGGACAGAGGACAAATTAAGGATGGCCTTCAGGTTTCTGAGACTAGGAGAACAGTGATAGGATTAATGGATTTGGAGAAATTAGTTATTGTAGGTGCAGCCAATCTGAGCTCATGGAAATCACAATTCTACAATACATGTAGAGGAATACATAACTAATTACTGAGTAAGTTACAAAGTACACACAAATTCTGATTGTAAAATTAAAGAATATATCCTACAAATGAGATAACACCATTGACTGGATAAGGCTAGCAGATAATGATAAACACTCATAAGTTGCAGGCCAAGCTTTCTACAAATGGTATGAGTGGCAAATCATAAAAACAGTAATGAAATATTTATGACTTCACATGAGTAGTAATCTATTTTGCAATCCACTGAACTTGCTATTTGTAGCAAGACCTCTTTTTCCCTAACCAAGAGAGAGCAAATAGATCAAACATGTCTTTCATCATACATTTTAAAAAAATATTTTGTGTTTTCATAGTAATTCTGGACAGTGAAACTTGCAGGCATTGCATGTTAGCATTACAAGCCAATGCTTAAGAGAGTTACTTGATTAAATAACTTCAAGGAAACAAAAAGCAATAAATTTAAAGAACAGACATGGTTTAAAGTGATGCACATGAAATCTGGCTTTTCTGGAAACTCAGGTGTCAAGAATCCTGAGTTGGACCTTGACTGTCTAAGTTTGTTCTCTTCATCTAAGCTTCTTTCTCATCATTTATTCCATTACTTACATGCCCAGTGTGTTTACATCTGTCCAGAACATGCTGAAGATGTGGTCTTAGGTGGTTATTTTCTAAAAAGCAATGAACAAATACACAGGATGAGTTTTTGAGTTTTTTTTTTCTGGATTAGAAAAACTGTTGAGAGAATGAGGGTGCAATTCTCAAATTGGAAATTAATGGAATTTAGGGCAGAAGATAATCTGTCCATTTTATATATACACGACAGAACTTTATCTGTCCATTTTAGTAAGTCTGCAATGCTGTTGCCAATGTAAGTTAAACATCAAATATAGGCACTCAGCCTCTCATCTTCTACCATCTACAATTTGCCTTTCACAGCAAGCATCATCCTCTCAAATTAAAACAAATTACATTTGGAAGCATCATGCTTCTTTATCTGGGTTGATAGTGTTCTTTCCTTTCCTTTCTACAGCATTCTTCTAATCCTAAAATGTGCTAACCCCTTGCTTATGATGCTTTCACTTACTAAATGTTTAAGTATCATTTGGAATCTTTTTTGTCCAGCAAGCTCATTACTCTTTCAGCTATGGTTTCCATCTATAGAAACACTAAATTTATATGTGTACATATGCATATTTGTGTGTGTAACTATCTTTCTAGGTCTTTAAAAATGGGCCAATTCTTATTTTACAGCTAAGACAAAAAGGTTTTATTTACATAGATTTAGATTAGTATCATCTTTGAATATTAAGAACATGCTTTCATGACCTTTATCTAGGACCTTAAAAAAGATAGTAACTTAGTTTTCAGATTCACCATTTAAAAAATAACTCAACAATGATTACCAATGATTGCTTTGAGTGCCAGCCTAGGTGATTCATCTTATCTTGCACACTGCTCTGTAGGACCTTATAATTTAAGCCAATGTACCCCAAAGGTACAAAAATAGGGGGAAATCATTCTGTGGGTTAACATATTATATAAGGTTGTGAGAATTTCCAGAACTTCTAAGAAGCTAATGGGCAATTATGAGCTTTTAAGGGGACAGGGTAAGGGTGGCAACTGTTTTCCAAAATCATTTGACAGCAAGAACCAAAGAAATATGTGCTGTCTCCAGAAGAACTAGTATCCTCCAGAATTTAACTTGGGAAAGTGCAACCTAATCGAATTTCCAAAGTGGCAGATTCCTGCAGAACTCATTGTTCTTTTTCCTTCTCCCCATGGGAAAAGTGCAGAAAGTTCAGGGCATTCCACAGGCCTATGAGAACTGCCCACTTGCTGTTTGGGATTGGACTAACTCTCAGTAGGGTGCCAGGACCAGATGTGCCACTCCAAAAACTGAATTTTAGGGCTGAAGATGTAGTTCGGTGGTAAAGCCTGCTGGACAAAAAAGTAAAGATGCAGTAAAGATTGCGTACACTGTAGGTGCAATCCCCAGCACTTTAATGAAGAAAGAAAGAAAGAAAGAAAGAAAGAAAGAAAGAAAGAACATTTTATATTTAATTCCCCATTTATCTCTCTAGATAGATACCCCAACACTCTATTTTAAGGTCAGAGTAAAGCCAAACGCTTTGCTTAAGCCAATAAACAATTATTAGTTATATATTGAGAAGGAGAATGTGAAATAGAGTGCAAGTTTTATTAGCTTTTTGTAATCATATTAAATATTTGTGAGCATTTGAATTTTGGCTGAAGCAAACATTATTTCCCCCTTTGTGAACAGCTTGCTATCGCGTCAATGAGATGAATTTTTTTTGGTGTCACTTTTATCCAAGCAGTTGTTATTATTATTATTATTATTATTATTATTATTATTATTATTATTATTTATTATTCAAGACGATCTCACTGTGTAGTTGAGACTGACCTGGAACTCACTGTGTAGCCCAGGCTGGTCTGGTGATCCTCCTGCCTCAGCCTTCCGAGTGCTGGGATTACAGGCGTGCACCACCACGCCCAGCTCAAGCAGCCATTATTAATTGTTATCAGAGCTATGAGTTGGTACTTTCATGAAGGATTATTATTTTATTGATTTTAATATTTTATATATATAAAATTAAGCTAAATGAGGGTTCTCTTTTCCATTTTTTCCAGTATGAAATATTAGATTTGTCCTCTTGCTATTGTTAGGACATTTTGTTTATTTTTCAAAGTGTAAAACAGAATGATAAGTGACAACATGTATTTAAGAACACTGACTTTTTATAATACAGCTTTCTACTTAATCAAGACCAACTGTTGTAGCAAACTGTGTTATTCTTATTTGCATCATTTTGCAGTGCCAGGGATTAAACCTAGCAGTTGCATGTGCTAGGTAAGCGCTCTGCCACTAAGCTAAATTCCCAGTCCTCTGAATTATTTTATAAAATATGGAGATAAACAACCACCACTATTATCAATTAAAAAAAAGAAAGACAATTACTCTTTCATGGTCAGTTATAATAATTTCTCCTTCCCTGTTTGGAATTTGTGTGAGATTTTCCTCTCTTCCCCTTTAGTATGCCTAATTGAAGAATCATCTTCTGTTACACTTTAAAAAATTTATTTATTTATTTATTTATTTATTGGTACTGGGGATCAAACTTAGGACCTTGCACTTGCCAGGCAGATGCTGTGCCACTGAGCTACATCACCAGCCTTCTTTATATTTTATTTCTTTATTTATTTGGTACTGGGGATCACATGCAGGATCTCCCACTTGTGAGGCTGGTGGTGAGTGGCACCACTGAGCTAAATCCCTAGTCCTCTTTATATTTATTTTAGATTGCATCTCTTTTCTCACTTATCTTTCATGTTGTCCCTACAAAACAAACACCATCCTTCATCTTACTCTCAGGTAATTCAGCCTGATACATTTTTTTGTTCTAAATCTTATTTTTAAAAAAACTATTTGCATAATCTGTTTTTTCAATGATTCTACCACCTGCAATCATACAAACATCAAATTCATTACACTCTTTTTTTTCTTATGGACATCATGGCACCTAACCTACTTTTATTAGCATTCTAAGGAAGTTCTCAAACTTTTATGTCCATCAAAGTCACCTAGGGGATTTATTCAAACACAACGATCAGTCCTATCTCCAGATTTTTGGGGTAATAGATTTCTGAGTTGTATTTACATTTCTAACAGATTCCCAGCAATGCTGATGGTCGTGGTCTGGAGACTACCTTTTGAGTCAGTGCTTTTTAGGACCATCATGAGAACTTCAAAAATTATATACTGATGCTGGGGCCCTGTCTTTCAGAGATTTGAATATGTTAGGTGTTAGGTGTGATACTGCTTTTTAAAACAAATCAAGTAAACAACTAGATTTGGGACCACTCAGCTACAGGTTGACTAAAAGTAGATTTTAAAAGGCCAGCTTGTCTACTTGATGGCTTCACTAGCTCTTACAACTCTTTCCTTCCACAGACATTCGCTAAGAACCTCTAAAGGGAGAGGCATCCTGTAGAGATACACAAGAACATAAAATGGAATTCTTGTCTGCTAGTTTAGCAGAGTATAGGAAAGACATAGGTGTACACACAAACATATATAGTATAAAATATATAAACCCATATGAGTTATGTGGGTTTCAACCCAACACATGAACCAAATAAAGTATTACAAATGAACATGAAAGGGGAAGAATGACTTCTGTTTAAACAAGAAGGCATTATGATTACAGGTCTATAAAAAAATAGTTGGATTGAATGCTTTTTGTTAGAGATGAGCACATGAAAAATCCTGAAAGGTAATTTGTGACCAAATTGTGAATGGCCTTACAAGGCAATAATGGAAGTATTAAATGTTTTCAGTAGAACAATGATGTGCTCAGAAAAGATTATGGGACTGTCAGCATGGCAGGAATTTGTAAGGATGAGTTAGAAAAGCTTACAGCAACTTTGTCTAGGGATCAGGGACATGTCTCTGAGCTATGAGAGTAATTGTGAAATTAGGCTTTAAAGTCAAAAATAAGGAAAAGAATATTACCAAGTTGACAGTTTTGAAATCGTAAGATGGAGTATCTGAAAATGTTCACTTTATGTTTCTTTGGATGTCATTGTGGAAGGTCTGCCTTTACAGAGAACTTAGCCTTCCTTAATCCCCTTTTAGGATCCTGGTGTTCTGATGGTTTCTCCATTTCTGGCCTACCAAAACTCGCTCTTAGGAAAAGATCTGTCAATCATTCACTTTTTAATAAGAGTGCTCAGAGTGTCTGAGGTTTCTCTTAGATGCTGTATAAGCAAGAGATATCTTCCAGTCTCCTATCACTGCCTCTTACCCCCACCCCACCATACCAAACAGTTCTATCCATGGTTAAGGTCAAGCCATTCTGTGGGAATTCGTCAAAGATAAACATGTGAGTTAAACACTGGAACTATTGCTACGATTGAGAACAACGTCTTTCCCTGGGAAAGTGTTTGCTAAAGTGAACTTAAAAAGAAAGCCTACTTAGGGCTGGGATTTAGCTCAGTGTTTCCGCTGTCTGCCTCGCAAGAGCAAGGACTCGGGTTCAATCTCTGGTACCAAAAAAAAAAAAAGAAAAGAAAAGAAGAAAGCCAATATAATACAGCAACATAATACCTCATAAAGAAGGAGTCAGAGAGGACATTCTCTTCACCCTAAATTATTTAATTCTCTCTTAAAGGATAAAGAAACAATTTTATTATTTGGGGGGTATTGTATAGGTGCTTTAGAGAGGTATCAAAAGGAAAATCTTTGAAGAGATATCAATGAATTATCCTGACAGAGAGAAAACACCTGCAACACGTATTCCACGTGTTCTGATAGCACCAATAGAAGACTAAAAAAAAAAAAAAAAATCTGTGTTTCAGAATTGCTGTATATTAAAAGTGCTACTCAGCTGGGAGGAAGTAATGATTGATAGTGACTATTAGACTCAGAATGAATGGTCATACACATGAAACTCTTTCCACTGAAGAAAGTTAATTCATTTATTATCTCACTGTAAAAAGTTTCTTTTTTACTAATACGTAAAATTATTATAAAAACTATTTCTTTTACAATAGCTCTGATGAAAGTAAAGTGAAAGCATTTATTTTTCCTTTATCATCAATAATCATTTTTTAGTTAGCACAGTTTCCCATATTTTGGGCTACTTTTGGTTATGTTATTAATCTCCATCTCTTTCTTTCTTTCTTTTCTTTCTTTTTTTTTTTTCTGGTACTGGATCGAACTCGGGTTCTTGTGCTTGCAAAGCAGGCGGTGGAACCACTTAGCTAAATCCCCAGCCCTAATCTCCATTTTCAATGAGGTGATATTTACTTATCAAAAGATTGTGCTTTATCATAATCTGATAAATATTATTAGTGAATAAATATGATGGTTTACCTACATCAATTGTTCTTTAATTTAATTTTTGTGTGTGTGTGTTTTGAGATGAGACAGGTCTCGCTGTGTAGTTCAGGCTGTTTCTGAACTCACTATGTATATAGTATAATGAAGTCCAGTAAGCCCCTGGCTTGAGAGCTTGACCTTGGTGATCAACTCTTGTTCAAAGAGATTAATAGCAAAGTGACTGGAAGTCAGTTTGGCTTCCTTTCTTTGACCTCAGTAATAAAGCCATCCCAGAAAGATTGGGGTCCCCGTGTATTCCTTGTAAAGACAACTCTTGCAAACCCAATTGCACGTATTTTATCTCCAGTACTTAGGAATTCGCTTCTTTTGTAGTAGTAAGCCTCCAAAATGGACTGCAGTGATCCATGCCTCTTGGTATTTATATCCTCGTGTCATTCCCTTCTACAATGTATAATCAACAGGATAAGAGAGAAATGAAGGTATATCAGGTCAGTCTCAACTACATAGTGAGACCCTGTCTCAAAACAACAACAACAAAAAAAAGTTAACCAATATACTATAACTGTATTGAAATGTAAAATGCTGGTTTTATAGTTAGGTTGAAGAAATGACCTCTCTTGCTTTTTCTGCAAGTGGCACTTGCTCACCAATGCCTTATCAAGACATTCTCCAAAACTACTGCAGACAATAATTACCTGATAATGTCTGACAGAGTTCATTCATCTTGTAATGGGGGAACACATTACTCTAAGGTATTTATTTACTCACAATGTGAGTGGACCTTGCAATTCTCACAAATGGTAGTGGTTGAATAGTATAATGTGTTTCATAATTGTTTTTCTCATTGCTCTAAAAAACACGAGTAGTATGAATATTCATCACTCGAGAAAGAATGCATGGCATTCAAGTTAACTAGTTGAGTCTACTAGGACTGACCAATATACATTATCGAGTGGTATTATTAGGATATTTGGTATGGGAGTGCGGGGAAAAGTCATGTATGCTAACGTGTGCATGCACACGCGCATGTGTTTCTGTGGTGCTGGGGATTGAAACCATGGCCTCACATATGATTGTCAAGTACTCTATCAGTGAACTACACCTTGAGCCCCATCCTTCTTCACACTTTACTTTTTAGACTTTTTAAAAAATAATAGGCATTGTTTTTGAAATAGTAATTAAAAAGATTAAACTGATATTTTAAATATAATTTAAAATTTTATTATGAAAAGTTTGAATCCTATACAAGAGAGTATATAAACCTCTTTGTATTCATCCCCTAGCTTTTATATGATCAATCTTTTTATCAATTCTCTAGTCCACTTGTTGTGTTCCTCCTTACCTCCTGCACAGGATTAATTGGATAGAAATCTAAAATATCATATTCTCCCAAAAGACAAGGTCATTTTAATAACCTTATTTCAAAGTTGGGAAGCAGGGGTATGGTCTTACCTATTTTTCTCATTGGTTTTAAGAAAAACGTGACTTAGCTGGAATATGTTTATATTTTAGGCAAGTCACATACTTCTTAGGTAAAACTGAATTTTTACACAATTTTATGGGGATGTTATGAATTTCCAGTTTGAAATCTGGGTTTGAAGGAGGGTGTGTTTTTTTCCCCCTCTGATATTTTCAGATCCAGAGACTGGTTATAATAAACAAAACCCCTCAATGAAGGTGTGGTCTTCAAAAATTGAGTTAAGAACCTGAGGTGATGGTCCCCATTACTACCAATGTGCTTATAGCTTAGGTACAAAATGACAGATCACTGGATAGTCACAGAAGGCCAATTTTCCTGACCCTAGTTCACTCAGAACTAGCACAAAAAGTGGTTTGTTTATTCAAATATCTTCCCTTATTTACAAAGACTCCTGATTTCAATGGAGCCTAGATTTCTTCATGGTTATTGTTTCAAAAGGTGTGATGTTTTCCCAGCTGGTGCACTGCTTGGCTGTTGGAAGCTTCTTGATGTGGTCTAACGACTAGAGGCAAAGAGAATCAGTTCTGAGTGTGTGTGTGTGTGGGGGGGTGAGTGTGCGCGCGCGCGCAGAAGCAGAAGTGGAAGAGTGGAAGAGTAACTGGATCTCTTCCAGGAAAGGAAAGCGCTGGCTCTTTGGTCAGATACACCAATACCGCTCAATTCTCCAGCTGCCAGGCGTCTGCCCTCGAAAGCGCATCCAGAGGCGCGGGCCACACCCTAGGACCCCACCCAGGACACACCCCACGATGCCGCAGCAGAGCTCGCGGTTTGGCTCCTGGACTTTCCCGGCCCGACTGAGACAGTCCGGGTGGGCTGGAACTCACCTGCGGGACAGGTGCGCGCTGCGGAGGAGGGGCCGAGA